TATGTACTGAGGGGCTTTGGGGAGAAAAAGGAAAAGTAAAATCTTTAAAAAAAAAAGTGAAATAAAGGGGCTGGCCCTGTGGCCGAGTGGTTAAGTTCACGCACTCCTCTTCAGTGGCCCAGGGTTTCACCAGTTTGGATCCTGGGTGCAGACCTAGCACCGCTCATCAAGTCATGCTGAGGCGGCGTCCCACATAGCACAACTAGAAGGAGATACAACTAGAATATACAACTATGTACTGGGGGGCTTTGGGGAGAAGGGAAAAAAACGAGGAAGATTGGCAACAGATGTTAGCTCAGGGTCAATCTTCCTCACCAGAAAAAAAAAAAAAAAAGAAGGAGAAGAAGAAGAAGTGAAATAAAAACATTTGAATTGGTTTTGTTAGGCATTCCCACCGTTCTGGTAAAAAGTATACACATATATATGTATGAACTCCAAAATATGAATTGTGCAATTTTGGTGATTCTGCATATGAGTCAAATGCTCTTGTACTTGCATTTAAAAATGGCATTGTACAATACAAAGATGACTATATAATTTATGCTAACAATTTAAAATTTTAATTTTCCTCTACTTAGAACAAGATTAAATAATAAATAAAAAGCACCATGTCAAGGTCAATATCAATGGTCATAAATCATATTAATAGGATGTAGCCTTGATATGATGTGATGAAATGGCACTTTACCTCTGTGATCTTCCTCCCAAAAACCCATAACCCCAGTCTAACCAAGAGAAAAATACCAAACTAATCCCAATAGACGGGCATTCTACAAATACCTATCTAGAACTCACAATTGTAAAGATCATCAAAATCAGAGAAAGTCTGAGACACTGTCACAGACAAGAGGAGCGTAAGGAGACATGACAACTAAAAGTAATGTGGTACTTTGGATGGGATCCAGGTGTAGGAAAAGGGCATTAGGCAAAAACAAAAGAAATTTGAAGAAAACATAGACTTTAAGTTAATGACAATGTATCAATATTGGCTCATTAATTATAACAAATGTACCATAATAACATAAGATGCTACTGGATGTGGAGTATATAGGAATTCTCGACAGTATCTTCTCAATTTCTCTGTAAATCTAAAACTGTTCTAGAAAATAAAGTCTACTAAAAAAAAATGAAAAGTAGAAAGAGAGACCACAGGAGAAAGAAAAGCTTTATATTTTAGTACCTTTAATGGCACTTTTTCTTGCTTTTTGAACAAGGAGCCTTGCATTGTAATTTAACACTGGCCCTTGCAAATTATGTAGCCTACTCTGCCTCTGTCCCAACTTCTGTCCCCAGACCTGAGACTGGGGTTGTTCTGGGCCCTTTTGAGAGTCCCTGAGGCCAAGAGTAAGGCTGTGAGCACGCTGGAGCCCCACAGGGAAGCCCAGCCCAGGACAAGTTCTGTGCTCTGAGCTCGTCTGGATTCTGAGAAAAGCAGCAGCAGCCACAGTCTGGAGAGTCCCCGCTCAGGCCAAATGGTGTTCCTCAGAGAAGCCCCTGCTCACTGAGGTGGGCAGCGTGGAGTCATAGCATCCCAGAGCCGGAAGGACTTCATTCATGGTTCTTCCACAGCCCTTCCCCCCACCTGTCAGGGAGAAGAAGGCGGACAAACAGAGGCAAGGAGAGGGGTAGAAGGCCTCCAGGCCTCCAGAGCCCTCCAGTGAGTGAGTGACAGCTTGAGTCCTGCCCAGCACAGAGCCTGGGACTGCCTTCCTTTGGGTCAAGGTTGGACCTGCCTTCCCTGTCCCTCAGTGTTTGCCAGCAGCCTGAGCTGCGGCCCCCCCCCCCCCACGGCCCCATTCCTCACAGCCCCTTCCTTGTTTCTCTGGGCATGTATAGGGTCTGTGTGTGTGTGTGTGTGTGTGTGTGTGTGTGTGTCTAGACCCAGTTAGTGTGAGACCAGAAGCAGAAAGGAGGAGGCTCTTATCATTGCATTTCCCACGTGGCTAATTCCCCTGGGGCAGAGGGGTGGGGAGAGGAGAGCCAGAGAGCCACAGGCTGGACAGGGCCTGCTGCAGCACACAGCAGCAAGTCCTGAGACCAAAGCACTGCCATGGGTGTCATTAGGAAAGAATGCGGAGGCCACAGCAGCAGGGGGAACCTCTGGACCGGGGAGGGCAGGCCTCCTCAATGACAAGCAGGCAGGCCCTGCAGAGGGAAACCAGCCCTCTGCAGTCTGTGTTGTAGAGGGCTCAGAGGGAGGGGGCTCTGTTCTGCCACAGAAGTGCAGCCTCACCAGGGACCAGGAATCCCTGAACCAGAGCCCCACCCTGGGCTTCCTCAGATCCTCCAGAGAAAGGCCTCACCCCTGGAGACTGTTGTCATGGCAGCAGCTGCCAGGGGCTGACTGCCTCCCCCCTTGCCTGTGCCTGCTTGGCTGCCCTGCCTGCCTCCTGATACCTTCAGCTCCTGCTACCTGCAAAGGCCTGTGCTGCCCACCGGGCTGCGGCTGCGGTAAATGCGGCTGGAGCCCACTGCCCAGGAGCAGTTTAACAAAGTGGTTTAAGGTTCAAGTACTCATATCCTACTGCCAGGGTATAAATCCATCTGGGCTACTCACTATCATCTGTTTCCATGGGAATAATTTGTAACCTCTCAGAGCCTTAGTTATCTCACCTTTAAAATGCAGTTCCTTAAACTCTCACTAGCATTAGTGAGCTAAGCACCATGTCTTCACAGGACCCTAAATCAGCAGTATCAGATAAAATCTCTCAGAAGGATTATTTCACAGCCCCCACCACGAGCACACACAGACAAGGAGCATACCACATTCCTTTGTAACAAATGGTTGTCACCACGGCAGAACCACCTTCATCTTACTCCCTCTTGAGAGCCCTTTCTCCCAAGGGAACCCCAAATCAAAGCAGAGACAGAGCCAATACAAAGACACTGTCTTCATTCCTCCTTTTCTGGTTTTAATCTGAAACCCCCCTTGTCTGCCCCCCAGTTTACCAAGTTCTTATCAAGGGTTAATTTATAGTGGTTTGGCAGCTTTCGGGGGAAACTCTGTCTCCTAACAGCAGCACTAGAAAGTAATCCCACCCTGAGAAGTCACACTGAGAGAGGAGAGGAGAGGAACTGGCCTGACGGAGCACACTCCTGGCTGCCACATCCAACAGGGAAAAGGAATTTTTCCTTTTTTTCCCCTCTCTTTTTTGGGAGGAAGATTGGCCCTGAGCTAACATTTTTTGCCAATCTTTCTCTTTTTGCTTGAGGAAGATTGTTGCTAACACCTACGTCAATCTTCCTCTATTTTATGTGGGACGCTGCCACAGCATGGCTTGATGAACAGTGCTAGGTCCATGTCTGGGATCTGAACCTGCAAAACCTGGGCCACTGAAGCAGAGCACATGAACTTAACCACTATGCCACGGGGCTGGCCCCAGGAATTTTTTCATTTTGAGTCAGAGCTTTTTGCTGAGATCTCCCCTAGATCTTTCCCGAGCTTGCTGAATTTATCATCCTATTTAGTACTAATGGTTTGCTTTAAATTAATATTTTGTAGCTCATGTCCTGAATGACAGAATCTGGATTCAAAGAATGAGGGAGTGAATCTAACAGGATAACGTCTAACCAAGAAAAATAGAAGCTTCTGTACTTAGTTTAAAATTAAAATGATTTCTAGAAGTGCATTAACAGAGATGTATGAAACAGATTTGGGGGTCTCAGTTGACTTCAACATAAAGTGGATTCAACTGTGTGATATGGCATCCACAAAATCTACTATGATCTTAGGATGCATCTATAGATGTATAGTGGCTATTCCAGAATGAAAGCTGTGATAAGATCACTCCATCCTACACTAGGCAAAATATTCAGTATTTTCAAAGATATTTACAAATTCAGGAACATGTAGGATGCTGAGTGACTTTGAAAAAATATATCACATCGGAAAGAGCTGAAATAACTGGGGAGGTTAAACCTAAAAAGAAAGTTTTGGTGAGAACATAATTGTTTAAGGATTAAATGAGATAGCATATTGAAAGTGCTTAGCACAATGCCTGGCATAAGTGCTCAATTAATGTTAATAATAAAAGAATGATAATTAGTAGTATTATTAGCACTAAGTCATACTATTATTATTATTACTATTACTCTACTCTAATTATAGTTAATGCTTATAGAGCGTTCTCTATGTGCTAGGCACTATTCCGGGTCCTTTACATATACTGACTCATTTATCCCTCTTACCAATCAATCCTATGAGGTAGGTACTATCATGTCTCCAATTTTGCAGATCCACAAACACATCCTTGTAATCTCAGCTGAGTATATTAGCATGATTTTAATCCTGCTATTCAGTGTGTGATCAACAGAATTATTGCATAGTTTAGCATGAATGCCCTCTGTGCTGAATCTATCTTTTTGGGTCCAGCAGTCCCAGGACCCAATTATTTGCTGATTTAATGAATTAATATAAACTTTCTCAACCAGCACCACCAGAGTTCCAGCAATACCTCTTTCTTTTGTTATGAATAATAACTACTGAATATATGTATATACATGCATAGACATTATGTGTGTATATATGTATATACATATATACATAAATATATAATAATGCCACACTCTCCACCAAATATGCTCCCATTTCAGGTAAGTAAGTTTTCAGACTATTTGTACTTAGATAGACAAACGTGTCTTTTGATTTATGAAAATCAAAGTGTTCAGCCCTTTTAGATTTACATACCTTACAAACTTAACTTTTTCTAGGGTTCTAGAATTGAATTATTACCAATTTAGAATGGAGCTTCTATTTGTGATACAGGTCTGGGGGCGCAAAAAAAATCCTCAAGTTATGGAAAAGTGAAAGCTTATCTTCCATGAAAGTGACAGGAGATAAAAACCATGTCGATAGAGCCTAAGTGGACATAATGGACTTATGAATGTGGATTAAAACTGGGAGAGGTGGCATATGACATCGAGTCATTAATGAGAAGTAGTCAGATTTCAGTGTAGGATCTGGACTGTAGGGGAACTAATGGGCCTTGGCGGCTGATGACGGGAGGATGAGGGAGAGAGGTGGTATCAGGGGAAGCGGCAGAGAGGAAGAGGCAATAACCCCCAAGACTAGACGCTGATCGTCTGGTAACCAGGAAAAGGCAAATATAAACAAAGAGAGGTGAATGACAGGGCTTGGTGTGTTGGGTCAGGAAATACTGTCAGGTTGCTGCGGCACAGCCGCCGGTCAAAGTGGTAACTGGGGATCTGATCTGAGCTCGGCGGTGACGCGCGGCCCTCACGTGACCAGGAGCCTATGTCTGCCCAAGTCCCTCTCGTCTTAGTCCTTTTTGCCTGTCCAGACACCGTCTGCCAATTGCCCTTTGGTCGAGGGGAAAAGCAAAAGGAAGTAAGTCCCCTTAGTCTTCTTAAATCGGTGTGAGCGTCGGTGCCGCCCAGTAACCCCTGGGATCGGGATGGCAGAGTCCAGGCCTTTCCCTATGCCCAGCCCCGCCCCCTGCGCCCACATTTCGGTGCAAAAAATGGTGGTCTTAGGGGTGGGCTATGGAGGTGAGTGGGGGCTCCCCTGGGAGGGAGACACAGACATTCAGAAATAGTTGCTAAGCAATCTTTCGCTTCCACTTCCCGCCTGAAAAGAAATGACGAACATTGCGGGGTGGAGGGGTGGGGGCACAGAGGACTCAGGCTTGAGCTAGGGCATCCGGCGGAGGGGAACCAGAAGGGGGCTGGCGTGGGGCGGCGGCTGATGCCCAGAAAAGGGGCGTGTGTGGCCCTTTCCCTCCTCTGCACTCCCCGCCCCCTACCCTGTCTGGCGTCTGTCTGCAGGTCTGCCGGTCGCAGCGGGGCACCTCGAGAGGACGTCTGGGAACAAGCCGCCAGGAGAAGTCCAGGTCGGGGAAGGGGTGGGCAGTGGGCCAGGATGGGGTGCGAGGGAGGACGCTGATGGGAACGGAGTCGGCGGCACCACCGCCCCGCCCCGCCCCTGCCACTGCGGGAGAGGCCTGTGGCAAGGCCTGCTGGGAAAATGGTGGGCTTTCGGAAAGGAGGGGGCGACAAGGGCGGGGGGACTAGATGCGGCGGGGTCCCCAGGGCCAGAGAGCCTCTCAGCAAGCGTAGGTTGGAGGACCTGGGCCCCGAATCAGGAAAAGGCAGGTTGTTGGAATCCATGGCCGGGGTTTTGGTCCAGCCACCAAGTATTCTGACTCGACTCTGCCTTTCTTGTCTCCTATGAATAACTGTGCTTAAAAAAGACCATTCTCGACATGGAAAAATCCTGCCAAGAGAATGAAGAACAGCCACAGAGCGCGCCCAAGGCAGATGAGGAGCGGCCTCCTGTGGAGCACTCTCCTGAAACGCACTCTCCGGAGGAGCCGTCTTCGGAGGAGCAGTCCTCGGAGGAGGAGTATTTTCCCGAGGAACTCCTTCCTGAGCTCCTTCCTGAGATGCTCGTGTCCGAGGAGCGCCCTCCGCAGGAGCGCCTTTCTAGGAAGGACCTTTTTGAGGAGCGCCCTCCCATGGAGCAGCCTCCTTGTGGAGTGGGAAAACATAAGCTAGAAGAAGGAAGCTTTAAGGAAAGGCTGGCTCGCTCTCGCCCCCAATTTAGAGGGGACATACATGGCAGAAATTTAAGCAACGAGGAGATGATACAGGTAGCAGAGGAGATGGAAGAGATGAAAAGAGTACGCAACAAATTGATGATCATGCATTGGAAGGCAAGACGGAACCGTCCTTATCCCATTTAATGTGTTCGGCCTCTAGTTCTGTTTTACCGGATATAAGTATTGCCACCTGAACTTTGTTTGCATTTTTCTCATGTACCTTTCCACATCTTCTTAATTTTAACTTTTTGTGTGGCTTTATTTTAGGTGTTTCGCTTGTAACTGGCATAAAATTGCCACCCCCCCCCACCCCGCACAATGTGCAAATCCCCCTCTTTCAGCCCTGGGTCTCACCCATTTGCATGGAAAGATGTACATTATATATTGTGAAGTGAAAAAAGCAGTCTTCAAGAAGTATATGTAGTATCCCATTTTTGTAAAAAAATGTATATTTATATATTAATATGCAGAGAAAAAACTGAAAGTATATACTTCAAAGGCTTAACAGTGGCTGTGTGGTAAGATAATAGGTGAATTTTTTGATTTTTCGTTTTTGCTTTATTGGAATTTCTCATTTTTTTCAACACGAACACATTTTGTGTTGCAAAAAAATATATAATGAAAAATTGAAAGGCAACTTAAAAAACTGTCATTCAGCTTAAAAAGACAATGTGGCACTTAATAAATACCTGTCAGAACTTTAAAAAAGAGAAGTAAATCCCATGTTTCTTCTGATTCTCTTATACAGAAATATAAACTAGGTACTTTTATTTGTTTAAGTGTCATTCTTTTCCCACTTAAATAGGATTAATCCTTGACTTACAAGGCTGCTGTGGAACCAAATGAGGTAAAGATTGTGTGAGCTGTGTGTTTTTGCCCCCACCTGCACGTGCAGGACCCCAGCCCCTGTAGATTCCTTTCAAGTACAGGGTGTAGGACCCAAAGGAGGTCTCACTTGCGCTCACAAATAATTCCTGTGAGATTCCAGGTGAGTACCACATTCCATTCCTGTCCTGCTATTCTCTTCCCTTGAATACTGTCATGTCTACTGGGTCCAGCTGCCCCTTCTGGGTCCTGCTCCTGCCTCGGTCCGAAGTGCCGGGGTTCTCCAGGTGCAAAGCCGGGCCAAAGCTGAACTGTGTCTCCTACAAATATGTGGAGAATGCCTCTCCTCCAGCTTTAATGTTACACTTCTCCAAGTGGATACCATCACAGTGCCGCTTAAACCTCAATATCTTAAAGAATTCTTAGCAAAATACTCGTTCCCATTTTTTTTTTTCCTGAACACTTCCCTTTTCTCCACTGGAATCAACATGAGTTCACTGGGACCTGGACTAGAAGAAAATTTGTGAGTCAGACACAATGCTGTGTACTCAGAATTGGAACCTCCCTCCCAAATAATCTCCAAGGTTAACTAGGGTTTTAATTGTCTAACACTTACCTTAGGGTGAGTTTCCTCCCAGGGGCCTCTGGCAGGCTTGCCTTACCAATTCAGCTGACTTGCTCAACTTATATAAATTAAAGAGGAAAGCAAGATTCAGGCTCAAGCTAGAACATTTCCCTTCTACCCATCCCACATCAACAAGAAACATGCAAAAATACTTTGTAAGTCATTAAAGTACTTACAGTCATTAAAGTATATGTATAATGTATATACATATATATGGGCGGTGTGTATCAGATATTGCGATTTCTCTGTTAATTTATTCTTATAAAACCTAAGATTTTGTTTTATTGATCCTGTTTATTGATTTTGTTTTATTGATCTTATTAATTCTAGAAACATAGATAGTGGTTAATAATGTTTTTAAATTATGACCCAATCATAAACCCTGAGTTTCTGTTTGATTGGCTATGATAGCTTCAGTGTCTTCGCTTCTCTGAAAAGTATGATTTGCAATTCCAAAAGATCACAGTGCGGAGAGGGATTGTTTCTCCAAATTCAACATTAAAAGTATTCAAATATTTTATGTATCAGTGTTTCTCTTATCAAATATGCAGAGACCTGGGCGTTACCTGAGACGCACCAAATCTGCTTTTCTGTAAAGTAGCACACAAGCTGGAGAGCCCCTGCTATATACAATATACTCCTGGTTTTGGTAAGAGTAAACTGTGACATAGATAGAAGAAAATATAGATGATTGTGTCAGAATGAAAAGGTTGAAAGGCTTGTCCAAGAATATTTTTAAGTAAGAAATTAAAAACAAACTCTTCAATTTTACTACATAAAATTTAGATTTTTTTCAGCAAAGTAAGACCATACCCAGAATAAAAAGCTAAGAGAGATGACAAAATAGCAAGACATATTTTCCACGATTGATATTGTGTAATGCCTTGCATTGCTTCCTTCCAATATGAGTAAAATGCCTCAGAAATAAATTCAAAGTTCTCCTTTGGTCATCAGCTCACAAAATTGTAAGCGAACCCTGTGCCCTTGACTTTGTTTTTGTTTTTATATTTTCACTGTATGATGTCATTTTGGGGGATCTTCACATCTCCAGACCAGTGTTCAAGATTATGGCAGCCTGATGGGTGCTGGTCGGGCTGGATTCCGGCTGGAATGAGGTGAAGGTCCAGGGGCTCACTGTGGCAGTTTTACAAGACGGATGAATCCAGCTCCCTAGTGCCCTGAGGGGTGGTGCTCAGGTAGAATTTGGAAGGCCTCACCCAAGCCACACTCCTCTGCAGGGAGGTCTGACTTTGGTTTCTCTGCTCCAGCCTGCAGCAGGCACCAGACCCTCCTAGGCTGATGGCTGGGCTGTCCTTGACATACTTACCTGGAGGACAGGGACTGTCCCCATCACAGGTCAGAGACCTTTGCCCTTCCCCCCTTTTCCCTTCCTCTTTCGGGAACCTTTTGTAGGGGAGGAGATAAAGCCCCAAGGATTCCTAACTGGAAACACTGGTTGGGACAGACTTTGGGTGAGCAGATGTCCAACCAGGTAAGTTGGGGCTGAAGCAGAAGGGGCTGGTCCTTCTCTCAGAGTCCAGTGAAGTAGCCCCCCAAAATGGGGTTAGACCTCGGACAAGACCTCTCCAGCCCTCTCCCGCCCACCTTTCTCAGATTCCCGGAAGAGCCTCGAATGTGCACAGGCCTGTTTGGGTGGTTCTGCGGTGACTGTAGCTCTGTGTGTGCCTGGTGCATGCTTCTGCTGTCTGCGTCAGCCCAGGCCCAGAGGCACAGGAGACCCCAGGGAAAGGGAGCTTGCAAAGGCACGTGGTCCTGCAGCTCAGGAGAAAAGGGGTTTCACCTCCTGTGTGAACATCCCTGTGCACTGCAGGCCCAGCCCACGAATTGGGAGCCAGGACAGTCAAGCTGTGAGCTGGTGTGAAGATGCTTTTGAAGGCATCGATGGTGGAGGGTCAGTGGCATCCAGAGCCTGGTTCTCTGGGCCCCTCGCCACCTCCCTGCCTAGGCAGAAGGCTGGTATCTCAGTCACATGTCCCAGAAGTGACTTGCCTGGCCAACTCCAGAGCAGAATGCGTTGAGGGTCCTGGACTCTGGAGAGAGCCCTCTGCTAACCAGGATGCCCTGGCTCTAAGGGGACACTGCATGAGAGTGGGAGGCCCTGTGGTGAGGCAGCGTAGAGGGATCAAGTTCAGGGTCCTTGCAAAATGCCCAAAGACTCCTCCCTCTCTCATTCAAAAATACTAATCTAAGCTCAATTCTTTTTACAAATAATGAATAAGATTATATAGATAAATAAGGGGTAGATCTTGTGTTCTAACTCAGATTTGTCTGAATCCAATTCTGCATTCTCTCCTTTCTACCACACTGCCTCCAATTTAGATTGTAGCTTTCCGGGACTGAGATGGCTTAGGGAATAACTGTTTTAGACTTGCTAAGTATTATATCCTTGTTGGTGTGTATATTTGGGTGAGTTTTCATATTATTATCTTTTTCCAGGTGGAAATGTCCAGTAGGCAGTTAGATATAAGTGTCTAGAGTTTGGAAAATACATTGACATGGAAATATGGATTGTGGCTGGTGGTACCTGGCACATAGTAAGCACCCTATGAATATTTATTGAATTAAATGAATGAATGAAGACTCCAGTCCAGAAGACTGTAGATAAATAGGTGGAACACAGGGAATATTTAGGGCGGTGAAACTATTCTGTATGATACTACAATGATGAATGTCATTATAAATTTTTCCAAACTCGTGGAACGCACAACATCAGAAGTGTACAACACCCTAATGTGAACTATGGACTTTAATTAATAATGAAAATCAATATTGGCTCATCAATTGTAGCAAATGTACCGCAAAAATGCAAGATTTTAATAATAGAGGATATTGTGTGGGAATATGTTAGGGAATATATGGGAACTATTTGTACTTTCTGCTCAAGCTTTTTGTAAAAAGAAGAAAGAAAGAATCCACTGGTATATCCTTCTATCCTTTTCTGTGAATATATATTTTCAAACACAAGTGGGATTCTATTGAATGTGTTAATTCATGACCTGTGTGTAAAAAATGAACTTTTTCTTTACACCTCTTTACCAAGACACTACCTGTCATGAAGATTATTTAGAATATTGGAGTAAGCTCGCCATCTGGTGACCAAAGTCAGAACCGCGAGTTAAACACAGCTAACAAAGGAGAGAAACTTGGAAAAGTGCGGCAGGGGGCGAGAGACAATATTGGGGAAGGGAATGCCTCAACCCTGACTCACACTGGACCTGATCCCTCCAGAATTCGGAAACTCTTAATGAGTACTATAATTTTCACGGCAATGTGGTTATTTGCACAAGAATCTGTTCTCCTGGGGCTGGCCCGGTGGCGGTGGCGCAGCGGTTGAGTGCACACGTTCCGCTTTGGCAGCCTGGGGTTCGCCAGTTTGGATTCCGGGTGCGGACATGGCACCACTTGGCAAGCCATGCTGCGGTAGGTGTCCCACATATAAAGTAGAGGAAGATGGACACGGATGTTAGCTCAGGGCCAGTCTTCCTCAGCAAAAAGAGGAGGACTGGCAGTAGTAAGCTCAGGGCTAATCGTCCTCAAAAAAAAAAAGAATCTGTTCTCCTTGTAACAGAACACAATTAGAAACATTGGTTATATTACCAAGGCTTTGACTGTGTAGGGAAGGAAAAATAATTTTCCCTCTTCCCTTCTAGGTTCCTGGCTGAGAGCCCCCTGTAATAAGAGACAGATTAACAGGAGAAAAACAAACAAAAGTTTAATAACATGTATACCTCCTTATACATGGGAGATACCCAGGAAAACTAATTCTCTGAAATGGCCCAAGCCACCACCTTAAATACCATCTACCATCTCCAGCTAAAGACAAAAGATGTTGCAGGGGGTGCAAGATGGGGATGGGGGGCCGGCAGGAGTTATGGGAGGTTTTCAGGCAAAACACAGTACCAAGGGTAAGGTTGTCATGTAAATTTAAGTCGTTGCCTTCTCCCTTGATGATGGTTTCTAGAGATTTAGTCATCCTTCCCTTTCTGATATAGGACTGAGAGGGAGACACCCTTACAGATGGAGATTTCTCTTATAAATATAAGTATTCCTAACCAAAGGGTTACTTCTATTCGGCATTCAGAGCTTCTCCTGTGTCTGTGGCTTCTCAAAAATAATCGACCCAGGGGCCGGCCTAGCGCTGTAGTGGTTAAGTTCACGTGCTCCGCTTCAGCAGCCAGAGGTTTGCGGGTTTGGATCCTGGGTGTGGACCTACTCACCACTCATCAAGCTATGCTGTGGCAGCATCCCGCATACAAAATAGAGGAAGATTGGCACAGATGTTAGCTCAGCAACAATCTTCCTCAAGCAAAAAGAGAAAGATTGGCAACAGATGTTAGCCCAGGGCCAATCTTCCTCACCAAATAAAATAAGATAAAAATAACCAGCCTAAAATAATCTTCATGGCAAAGAGGCACATTTTGGGGTATCATATTCTGTTCCCTTACCACTGGAATGTCATATTTGAGAATGTACCTAGATTCACATTTGACCACACAGATTTAAGGAACTAAAGTTGACTTTGTTTAGCCATAAAATCCCTTGGAAAACCAGCCTGATACCTTGCTTACATGGTTTACGGCAGCCTTAGCAGGGAAAGAAAGGTCACTTCATGGCAGGCCCAGTAACCTCAGAATATTTTGGAGACCTCAAGAAGAGAGGAATTCACCCAAATCTGTAGGTATTGTAAGCAAAGTCTCATAGTGAGCTCTTGGCTTGTCTTTCTGGCCTCAAGAGGTTTTTAAAAGTCCAATGGAGATATCTTATGAAAAGTTAAAGGGCCAGCCTAGTGGTATAGTGGTTAAGTTTGCGCACTCTGCTTCGGTGGTCTGGGGTTCACAGGTTCAGATCCCAGGTGTGGACCTAAACACTGCTCATAAAGCCATGTTGTGGAGTGGCCCCACATAGAAAATAGAGGAAGATTGGCACAGATGTTAGCTCAGGGATAATCTTCCTCAAGCAAAAAGAGGAAGATTGGCAACAGATGTTAGCTCGGGACTAATCTTCCTCACCAAAAGAAAAAAAAAGTTCCTGGAAAGCAGATTTAAAAGAGTCTATATGGTCAATCACTATTCTTGCTGCACTTATGTAAATAATCAGGCCAAGTTTAATGAGACTAGACTTATTTTGCAAACAAATTAGTCTTATTTTGGTTATCTCTGATAGAAATGGGGCTGACCAGAGAGAGTAAAATTATGTTTTCAGTAGAAACTATAATACATGTATGTTGATGTCAGATTCTAGTTCTATTCATTGCCTTGAGGTTTTGTATTCTACCTGATAGCCTTTCATAACTGGCCTCCCCCGACTCAAGCATCTTTCTTTTGTCTTTAGTTGAAGATGGTATTTAAGGTGGTGGCTTGGGCCATTTTGGGGTGTTACTCAGTTTTCCTGGGTCTCTCCCCTGTGTACAGGAGGTATACATGTTAGTAAACTTCTGTTTGTTTTTCTCTTGTTAATCTTTTAATACAGAGGGGTCTCAGCCAAGAACCTAGAAGGGTA